ATACGTGCAGATGGATTACTTGTCAAATTAAGAATACTTCAACCTTTTTAACTGGGGGTTGAGTAGAGTGAAAGCATTGTGAAACCTAACATGGATCATGCAGGGGCAAGATTAAACTAATTCTGAGAACCAAATTAAGCCTCATCAGATCTTTTTTTAAACAGTTTTTGAAAGTACATAAGCAAGTGCGATGTGCATGCCCTAGTGAAGGGAGGGCATATAACAAGAGCGGATGTCTGTAAATTACGAAGGTCCTTCATTTCATTTCTGTTATTAAAACATCCATAACAGTAATACTGTAATCTAGTTTTTCCAAGGTTCATTCCCAAATTTTAATCCCTCTGTAAATTCTTCAAATATAACCTAAAACAAAAAAAAAAAAAACACTAACATTTCATTTGTCACACAGAAAATACTGCCAGTCATTATACTTTGGCTTCTTACTAATAGTTCTGCATCTAAAAATGAAGTTCCGTTTGAGACAATTGGGTTTTGTATATTTTATTAGCAATATTTTGACAATACAATAGAAAATATTTTCTAAAGCATGTGGAAATAGTCTTCACTCTACCCCCTCTTCCCCCCCCCCGCCAAAAAGGTGGAGTTAGAATACTCAGTGGATAGAAGAATGGCTGTTCGTAGTCTTTTTTTTAAAAACAAGGCTATCTATTCAGATGTTTAAGTGAGAAGGTAAATCCCAAAAATCTTACTGGCTTGTATTTGAGAAATGCCAAAATTATCTTTAATTTATTGTTTGAGTTTTTTGTGATGGTGTTGAGGCTTCTGCTGTGCAGTATGCTAACATCTGCCATATTTAGGTTTACAAAGAACCTGGAGCCAAAATTCCCCAGTAGACTGACTGACTGACTCTCTCTCTGGTTTTAACCATGCATGGATCTCCATGTCAGCAGAAGAGAAAAATAGCACATCTATTTTTAAATTGGCTGGAATTCCAAAGGCACAAACCTCCTGGTGTCTGTGAGCCACTGTGATTGAACGCCTGCCCTGGTGACATTCTAGTGATTGCTTGCAAATCGCTGCTGCCTCCTTGTGTCCAATATACATAACTGTTTCACCGAGGGACTTCACAGCTCCTGAAACAAAATTCAGTAAAATCATTGACTGAATTGTTTAGCTAGGAACTGCAGTTCACATTAGTCATTTTATGGGGAGTAAGGGGCAATTGTGTGGAAAACATAACTAGATAAAAATAAGAACCAAATGATTGATATTTAAGATATGAATTCAGAGTTTGAATGTTGAAAGCTTAACTATAATCACAGTAAACCTAGTAGCAACTGTTAGGCTAAAAAGTTAAACTTCTTCCATGCCCATATCCTAATTTTGGATCTAAACTTAATAGATTGACCTAAAAATATTATATGGGGGGGGGGGAGAATCTTAAGGGATTCAAGACAAAATTTCTACTTTTTTCTATTGAACAACATACATTTTAAGACATTTTTGGCAGAATGGCTTTCAGTATGAGGTTCTTAGGAAAAAAGTTTTCTTTATCTTGACTTCTGCTCTTTGGACCCATGGTTCCTGCTCCAAGAAGGGGGGAGGGATAGCTCAGTGGTTTGAGCATTGGCCTGCTAAACCCAGGGTTGTGAGTTCAATCCTTGAGGGGGCCACTTATGGATCTGGGGCAAAAAATCAGTACTTGGTCCTGCCAGTGAAGGCAGGGGGCTGGACTCAATGACCTTTTGGGGTCCCTTCCAGTTCTAGGAGATAGGTATATCTCCATATATTTTTATTTATAAGAAGAAAGTGCAAATGCTAGTAGCCATCTTTTAGACAACACTGCTCTACCCAGAGAAACTCAGATCAGCTGAAGAAGAGAGAGAAGAGAGAGAGTCTACCATAGGCAATCCTGTTTACTCTTTTGCTTTTCAGTCTGGGGCTTTCCCCAGGTAACAAATTTGATGTCAGTGTCAAAAGCCTGATAGAACCACCAGAGAATTTTTTAATGTCTTGGTATCCTAATGGCAACCACCTCTTATTTTCAGAAATCTTGGCAGCGGCAGAAAGCTTGCTGTGGAGTCAGTGGGAATCCTGGCTGCAACACACTGACATAACCTCTGGCAGTGCTGCAGCCAGACTAGGGTCAGTGTTGGGCGTTGGCAGGTCAGGCCAGTCCTTGAGTCCATCATAGGTTGCCAGGGTCTCCCAACCAGGAGCTAGGCCGGAGACATCTGTCCTCTCCAGTGGCTTCCTGAGTGAGCTCTGGGGTTGGGCATTTATACTTTCTGTCCTGCGCCTTGACCTCTGGGGGGCAGGCGTGGGACTCGCTGGCTCCGCTCACTCTGGTGTCAGGAGGGTTCGTCCCTCTCTGGGGCGATGGGGAACCACACCACCTTGCTACACTACCAATACAGGGTCCTGCCTTTTAGACTTTCCACACCACCAAAGGTGTTCACCAAGTGCTTGGCAATTGTGGCAGCTCATATTAAAAAAAGCAGGAATCCAGGTCTGTTCATACTTCAACTAACTAATTCAAGGAAGATCACACCAACCAGGTGAACAACTGAATTCAGGTAATCCTACAGCTTTTTGCCTTCCTGGATCTCAGTCAACAGAGAGAAATCCACAATGGCTGAGAGCATAGCTTTCATTGGAGCAGGAGCAGTGGACTCTAGGACAACAGTTTACCTTCCACAGGAAAGATTCCAAACAATAATGGATCTTACCAACCAACTTCAGGATCACCCAAGAAAATCAGTGAAAACATACTTGACTTCTGGGACACGTGGCTTCAAGCACCTGTATAACATGGTTTGCCAGACTTCACCTATGCTCTATGCAAGTGTTCAAATCAGTGTATCTACAGTAGACCCCATGTGCATGTGATGGTCATGGTCCCAGAAGAAGTCATCTCGTTAAACTGGTGGAAAGACTGACCCTCTTCAGTACTTTTCTCTACTCTCTGCTTACCAAGACTTGGGTGACCTCTTCTAGATCACCTTTGGATTCAGGGCCCTATGGTCTCCTCAAGAAGCCTGTCTCCATATAAATGTCCTAGAGCTCAGAGCCATCTGCCTGGCATGCAAATATTCCTGCCTCTTCAGGGTTCCACAGTACAAGTGCTAACAGACAACTTCCTACCTATGCATGTCAACAGGTACGGAAGAGCAAGATCATCCCCCTTCTGCTGGCAGGCTATGTAGCTTTGGAATTGTGGGATCTTATTCAGAATACACTTAGTGGATCAGCACCTTCCCAGCCACAGACCAGGCCAACAAGTGTCAGATATTTTGTTCAGGGGCGGGGGGGGGGGGTGGCGTTTGAGCCCAGGCTCCTTGGCAGATGCCTTTCTCATCTCCTAGATGCCAGGACTGATGTATGCCTTTCTGCTGATTCACTGTGATACCAAGGGTTCCAAGGAAGGCGAATCAAGACACAGGACCGAGCATTTTTGATAGCCCTAGCATAGGATAGGCAGTTCCTGTATTCACAACTGATGAAACTTTCAACACAGCTGTCCTCCCTTCCCTCCCTCCCCCCACCCCCATCCCATACCATCCTAACCTTTGGTACAAGGAATAGGTTGCTACTTTTCATTTGCTTTTTCAGTGGCTGGTACATTAACTAGAAGGGTAGAGGAAACTTGTGCTTTCATGTCAGGTCCCCCTTATACAGGGTTTCATAAATACAAGGTCTCTCTTAGGCATCACTGAAGTTCCTGCTCAAGGTGGTTTGAGTTCTATATCACCCAATCTATTTGCTTCCTAGTTTTCTGTCTCAAACCTCATTCAACCTTGGGAGAAGCTAAACTTCACACACAATTAGTGTAGTAAGGAGAACGGTCTTCCTACATCAACAAGGCAAAATCATTCAAGAACATGCTCAATCTAGTCATGGCCTTTGCTGATAGTTAAGGGGGAACTTATACCCTCACACAGGCTATGTAAGTGGGGGTCCAGCTATATAAGGACATGTTATGAGTTAACCAGGTTAGATTCACCTTGCTACATTAGAGATAATTCTACTGGAAATCATGCATCCTCTGTTGCCTTTTTGAAGAATGTCCCTCTCCCTGCAATCTGGGATGCAGGTATGTAGAGTTTGGCCCACCCTTTAAAAGACCCTGCGCTTTGGTGTAGAGGCTCCCAGTTGGGATGTCCATTTTGGTAGGGCTATCCTGCAGTCATTGTTAAAGAAGGAACTCTAGTATCTACCTCCAAGCAAACAGGCAACTGCTTGTTAGTTACCAAGAGTAGAATCCATGTAAACAATTGCTCAAAAGAATGGTTACTTACCTAAAGTAATTGTGATTCTTCAAAATGTGTTGGACATGTGGATTCAACAACTCTCCTTCTTTCTCTGCTACTATGGTGTCCACCTTTCTGTGATTCTATATTGGTGAAAGAACTAAGGATAATTGTGCTTGCCCTGCCCCTTTATGTCCTTGGATGATGGGGACATGAGAACATCTAGGGCACAAGCATGGTCCCAATGGACATTGCTGGTAAAAAGAATCTGACCTTATGCACATGGGGGACATGGAAACCAATAGCATATATATAGTCAATATAACTTGAACACAGATACTGTAGGATTAAGTACCTGTTCTTTATACTTTATGGGGAGTTGAAGTTAACCTTTAACCTTGTGCCTCCATGGACATCATCTAGAAATCTTAGAAATGCACTGTGTCCATCACTTGCTAGTGTTTAAGTATGTGATATTAACAGAGATCAGAGGTATATTTTTAGTAATTAAGCTATTCAGTATGTAGGTATTTTAGTAGGTATTTCTTATTAAAAAGCCCTTTTTTGAAGTGTAACAAATTAAACTTATGAAAAAAAGTGTAGAAGGTTTTTACTGGAAGTGGTTTTGTTGACCATATTCTTTTCATTGTAATTTTGAAAATAATGAACAGTGTCCTGTTTAGTGGAGGTTTGTTTTGTTTTGTTAGTGTAAGTAACTTGTAATGAACCCCTAAGAAAGAGGAAGCATTTTATTTGTTGTAAAGTAAAACTGGGCTATTTTTTTTCCAGACTTGAGGAAAGACCAAATGAATATGGAAGCTAATTACAGACCACACACTAACTTTCCTTCAGAATCTCAATTGCAGATGCACAGTCCTCCACTGAAGAGGTAATTAATTTTTTGTTTCTTTACTGTGAAACTTTCCTATCTGAAATGCAATGTCCATGTGGAGCTCCATTTGTTGACCGGAAGAGCATATATAATATATCCAAATGCATTTCAAACATAGTCTTCAGACATTCTTTTAATATTGTACCTCGTGTGTCAAAATGACTTGGCTGACATATTTGCTCTTTGAAAAGACAAGGAAACCTGATTGATGTTTATAAGGATCAGCCAACAGGGAACCAAATTTTAGGCTAGATTTTTAAAGGGATTTAGGCACCTAAAGACTCAGGCACCTAACTAGCATTTAATAATCTGGCGTTTATCTGATATTTAACCAGTTTAACTAGGTCAGGAGTTTAAAGTGATGTAATTCGTAAGTGATGTAATTTGTACATTCATACAACAAATGATTGGTCAAACTGTCTTCTGACAACTGTAAAAATGGGATAGTCGGTTCCCTAACACCTAGACCTGCCTTTCTGAAGTGATGTGTATCCACAGCTCCAACTGAAGTCAGTGGGAGCTGCAGGTGCCTAGCATTTCTGAAAATCAAGACCTGGAGTGTAAAATTGGGTAACCAAAAGTAGTGGACAATTTTTTTTTTTTTTTTCAAATTTTTGACATACCTGACTTGCCCAAAAGTCAGTGTGGTGTAGGATTAGGTAAAGAACCCAGACCTGACTCCATTCTATGCTTTAGCAAGATTCCTCTTTCCTTATTGGAGGTGAATCTATGAAGCTTTTGTAGAGCTTTGTTAATCCTTCAAATTTCTTATGAAAGAAAATCTGCTGTGATTCGATACATCTTTGAGCTAAATGAATATTTGTTAAATAAGTCTCTTAATCCTCCAGTTAAATCAAGGGTAAAGGATATTTAAATAGTATCTCCAAGAACACCATTATAAAAAATTGCATATTCGTATTACTTAGGACTTATGGGTGTGGTATATGCTTTTAAAAAAACTGCATGTGTAAATGTTTGTGAAGAAATCTCTTGACTGGTTCCCAAATACCTGTGCATGTTTATATTTTAGAGCAGAGATGCCACACAAGAAAATATTCCCTTCATCGACTCTACAGCCAAATTTTAAGGACCATGTTAAGAGAGAAACAAAGATCAGCAAGTTAAATGAACAGAGCTCTTCAGAGTGGCTTAATCCAGATAAATTTGAGAAGATCAGTATGCCAGTGTACAGTGCTGAAAGCTCAGCCCACCCTTATAACACTGAACTCTCAGTTGTGTGTGGAAAGAGAGTGAACAACAATGAATTTCTCTCATCCTCTCCGCTGCAGTCTCCTCATACAAGAACTCTTGGATCAAAGTCAGGGCTTGCATCTTTAGTTCAGCAGAATCTGTTAGAACAGTCCCATACGGAGTTGTCCTCATCTGGTGAATGTGCTGTTCAGTCATTTGGTAGGACTAATAATCTTCAGATTCCAGAAGTAATTTACCAAAATCTTCCACCTCCTTTACCTCCAAAGAAATATACTCTGAATGTTTCGCTAGGATCAAAAAATGAATCTACAGCTGATGTAACATTGCCAGAAGTGTTGCAGAGTAATCTTTCAGGTTTTGAAAGGCAAACAGCTATTGCTTCAAAATCTGCATCAGAAGGTGCATTTACAAATGAAGAAAGATTTAAAGAAACATTTCAAGGGAATGATCACACCATTCACAAACTGGATACCGCACCTAGGTCATCAGTTAATGACTGTCAGACTGTATCTGGCAGTATATGTAATAAAGGATCTCAGCACACAGGACCAAGTGTTAGCTCTCCTGATGCAAATGATAGTGTATCTCTAACAACCTATTTTTCAGTAGATAGCTGCATGACAGATACATACAGGATGAAATACCATCAGAGACCCAAGCTGTATTTTGCAGACAGTAGCTTCCACAAAGATAAGCATCTACCACCAACTGGAATAGACCTGGGCATCGTATACCCTGGTATTCTTGATTCCAGTCATCCCACATCTGAACAGAGATACAAACCTAGCATAGAAGGAATACATTGCAACAGGTAGATTGTCAAATCCATTTTCTTATGCATTTCACATGGTCTGCTTATGGGGCAGGAAGCATGGACTCCTCAATGTGTGGTGACAGGTATCCAGAGCTCAAAAGCTTGTTGACCAACAGAAGTTGGTCCAATAAAATATATTACCTCACCCACTTTGTGTCTCCCCTATCCTGGGACGGACATAGCTACAACACTGCATACTTAGGTATCCTGTCAGCTATGCTTTTAAGAGATATGACTGTTTAAATGATTCTTCAAATCTGGGTGAGCAGGGGAAAAGGTGCTAAAGTTTTGGCCATGGATTTGTCATTTTTCTTGCCTTAACAATGTTTACCTCCATGTGATGATGCTGAATAAGTTTGTAAGTCTGTTACAAATGGCCCCCTTAAGTGTGTGCTTTTAATTAATACCTAGGTAGATCAGTCAGCATATGAGATTAACTAAATAAAAAGTTGTTCATTTTACTGGAGAACTTAATACACTTGTGGCTTAGTGCTCACAGACTGAAAAAAGGTATAAATTAACCTGTAATCCTTTAAACTAGCTAGTGATATGCTGATAAACACAGTACCATACATGGCATGGTACATAGAACAATATCTGCTTTATGAAACCATTGTTCCTAATGAGTAACAATGTGTTACCTATTTCTTCATCTGACTTCTGTGAAAGTCTAACTTAAAGGAAATTAAGTGTCTTTTTTTAATGCAAGTTTACCCAGAGAATTGGATTTTTAGTACTCAAAATGATGCCTTAATGAGTGATTTTACAAATTAGTGTAGCCTACGTGAACTACAAACAGAACTTTACAAGGGAATTGAGATTTTTTTTTAAATTATCCTAAAACTCCAGTTCCCTATTTGTACACCTTTTTTTATCCAACTGTTTGCTCCTTAACTTAAATTCTAGTCAGTGTTCCACAAGCAAAGCCGTGATAATTTAACTTATTACTGAAATTTAATTTAGCTATGTAAGCTACAAATTAATATAGTAGTCTGCAATGTGCTGTAGAAACAAATATATTTTAGGATATGAAGTTGTCACGTAGCTACAACAGATTAATTTAAGAAGCAGTACATTTACATTCAAGACCTTATTCTTCAGGTCAGATTGCATACAGCTGCAAAATCAAATTCAACCCTACTATGTACTTGTCTGTCTTTTCACCTTCTCTCTTGAAAATACACCACTATGGTTCACGTAAACCTGAGCAAATTTATGGGATCAGTCAGTTTGACTTACTGTTACAGAACTTTGTCCCCAGCTAGCAGTCTCCCACTCCAAAACATTTCTAGACTGTATTTTCAATGAATGGGTAAATTTACATCCCCTTTGGGTAGGCTTTTAATTGAATCTGCACTCTTTAGGGAGGTTCAGAATTCAGCTTCACTGTAATCCGTTAATGCTTTGTACCATTTGTTGGCCATTGAAATAACTAATGTAACTTGTAATGAACGCTACCAAAGCAGGACTGTGTAGAATGAGTAGTTGAAGCTCCTGGCTTTCTTAAATGTAAAGGAAAGTGCTTAGATTTTTAAAATTGGGTGGTACTGATTACAATTAAGTGTAAAATGCCTTTTAGTTCTGAGCGTAATGCTACATATGTATGTTATACTTGCCGTGTGGTCAAACAGGTTTAAATGTTTTTTTGTAAATTATGTGAATTACAGTGCTTCAACCAAATGGTGACAGTCATGTGTATATTAAGTTCTCCAAAATATAAAACAGAAGCTGTGGTTACTTTGGCAATGTCCTAAGATTTGTCATTTTTAATATAATGCAAACATGATATGCCTCAGACCAAATATCTCAAACCAGTCCCTTTATACTTTTCAGTCACCTAGTAGCATTTGAAAGAATTAATTCTGGAATTGATATTGTTACATCTAAAGCAAATACATTCAACATGTATGGATATGAATGCAAGTGAAATTGAACCTACTGAAATCCTTACATTCTGTATAGGGGATAAAATTGGGTGGGGAGAAAGAACTTGATTTAAAAATACTTGGATGTGTGACAGCATGGAAGATTCCCACTGTTAATCTTTTTGTTTGTTAAAAATAGCTTTTAAAAATGAATTTTTAACCCATACCAGATAGGCATTAATGTACACAGTTAATTAAAATTACATCTTTAAAAAACTTATAGTACTAGAACTTGTCAAGCTTTTCCAGAAATCTTGTACACCTCTACCCCAATATAATGTGACCTGATATAATACGAATTCAGATATAACGCGGTAAAGCAGCGCACCAGGGGGGCGGGGCTGCGCGCTCCGGCAGATCAAAGCGGGTTCTATATAACGTAGTAAGACTTTTTTGGCTCCTAAGGACAGCGTTATATTGGGGTTGAGGTGTATTTGAAATTGCGGTATTTTAATGTATAAAAAGCACAGCAACAACTTAAAATGTTCTTAAATGTTCATAGCAAACATTCATACTTCTATACAAAGGAACAATGTGACTGCCTATTAGTAATACAAACAAGTGAATTTGGTTTCCAGAAAGCTAGTGAGCATAATTGGCGAGTTTATTCAAGACTAGCTGCTTAGGTTCTTCTGGGGTTCTGAAATGCAGCAATCTTCATTGAAGTCACTTAGATGAACATTGATCTTTCTTTGCTTTGCTTGGAGCTGTCTTTCCATGCAAAACCTTTTGTATATGACCTGTTTACCAGATAAGTTATATGTGCACTATTATATAAATGACAGCTTCACTTTTTATATTTACTCTACAGGTCCTATGTTTATTTAATATTTAACTAATGTATGATCTGACATTGATTTAGCTAGAGTGCCTATTTATTTTTTTATAAATGTCCTGGTTATAGATTTGTATAACAGACATTTTGTAATGTTTTAATGCATTTAACAGGTATTGTAATATATTTTTCAGTCTTTAGAATTTTATTTTCATGCAAAGTTGCATTTTTCTGCATGTTCAGACTATTAGATTAAAAACTAACTACTTTTGTGGCTACTACCTCTATTCTCTCTGTATCTTACACAGGTGGTTTAAAAGTGGTGAAACACAATGCTGGAACACCAACTATTTGCAAATTAGGTTGGTCATCTAAGAACAGTAGATAAATTTGTAGTGCTTGAGTAGTTCTCAGCTATCTAATTTGAACAGTGATGCTCACACCTTCACTAAAACACATTAGCCAGGAATACCTGGTGTTTAACACCCCTCCCCCCCCCCAAAAAAACTTAACTTTGCGGAGAATAAACATTGAAGTTTCCCAGATCTCTCGTTTGAACCATCAGTTCTGCTGTATGTACAAAAAAAATGAAGTTTGTCTTCTGCTAGTTGCATTCAGGATCTCACCACCTGTACTACCCTGTCTTTACTCAAGACAGAATTCTGAACTTGCTCTTGGCAAATTTTTGAAAATCCACATTTAAAGATGACCATTAACATAGTAGTATGTTTTATGAGGTTCAAGTGTAAGGTTGTTTAAACTAGGTCTGATCACTGTTACAGCTTACTCGAGTACACTAGCAGGAAGCATATTTGTGTAAAACTTTCATTCATGAAGATGTGTTGTGGTTAACATCTAGCTATACACCTTCTCTCTCTGCATAAGAGCTGCTGGGGACACTAATGGAATCACCTAATAGATAAGCAAAGTTGAAGTATTTGATTATGTAAGTGGGAGATTTTTTTAAAAGGTTTAGTGACTAATGACTCAATTAGCTATTATATAGCTGAACTTGTGATTTTTCTATAGTGGAGCCTAGCTTTTGCACCCTAAGCTATGCCCTCAAGCTCTTATGCAGTTTTTTGTTGTAAATCAAAAACAGTTCAATTATGTGAGCTGCACTTCTCACTATTTTTTCCATCTGGTTCCTTCTGCCTCCTCACACTCAGGGAATTCTGGCTCTTGTGTTTTCTCCACTCCTCCTATAGCTCCCCTTCAGCCCACATGCCCTCTTTTAAAGCTCAGTTGTTAAAGAACCACTATGATCCTGCAACACTTCACCTACTTACTTCAGCTACAGCAGAGATGTCATGTGCATTTGGTGGAAAGTGCTGTATTCCATGTTAATTTAGGGGGTGGGATATAATTTCAGTGAAGGTGGTAGGAGCATGCTCCCCCCTTGGGACAAACAGGGGTACTAGCACAAACTACAGGGCAGCAGCAATGGCTTGGGGTAGCACTCTAACAAACCAGTGAGGCTCTGCATCTGTAGGTGAGTGGTTAGTATAAGTTAACACCCTTGAACAATGTAGTTATACTGATCTAATTACCAATGCCAATGTCCACCTTCTCCCATCAACATAGCTACTGCCTCAGGAAGGTGGAGTACTCATGCCAACAGGAAAAACCTGCCCTGTGGTGTAGGTCACATCTTCACCAGTGCAGCCCTTTAAATATAGGCAAGCTTTAAGCAGCCAGGCTTGCCTTTTTACATGCCTTACTTAGTTACAAGGGGATTTTCATGTCAAAACCTGCTTGATATTTTAGAGGCGATATAACAGTAGTGGTTAGCACAGAGGAGGATGTCTTTAACAATGTGGCCCTGTACCCACAGCACTACAGGTTATTCCAGTAGGGAAGGATAGTGGTAGTAAGCAACCAGCATAGTAAGCTGGGTAATTTAAGAGGACACCACTAAAAACTTATGGCCATTATTTGTCTCCAGACAGAGCTTCTCTAAAAAGCCTCAGAGGGACAGAGCTGCATGGAAGTGTTTGAAAGCTGATCTTGCCAGCTCAGAAAAGGATGTCATAACCAATCCACCCAGTCTGAAGTTCCATTTTTTTCAATTGATCTTTATTCAAACACTGAACATTATGTAGAAGACAAATGAGCAATCTATATTACTGTTATGGAAACTAGAGTATCCTCAAACTTTTGAAATTTAACTTAAGGCACAATTTACGTGGTCACTGAAGTAGATGAACCAGACCCCCTCAAATCAGTACATCCATGAATGGATCAATGTGTAGCACTAGCACTCTGGCTTAACAGGTTTGAGAGTCTCATTTCCAGTTGTCCTGTTGCATGTAGTGTCTTCCTCTTCCAAAGCATGTTTTTATAAATAAGGTTCCTCATCTTGAATAGGAGCTGCCACTATGAGGAATGGAAAAATCAGGTTACATTTTCAGTGGTGTAAGAAAGGAAATAAGCATAAGTCTACACTTTAAAAAAAATTAGATCAACCTCAAATCATCACTCAAGGCTGTGAAAAATGTTGCACCCCTGAGCACCATCAGTAGGTCCTAATCTCCTGTGTAGATGGGGCTAGAACTACAGCCTGTTGGAGAGGTAGATTAACTACATAGAGGGGAAAACCCCTTCCATCAATATAGGAAGCATCTATAGCAGAGGCAGGCAAACTACAGTCCACAGGACCATCCTGCCTGGCCCAGGAGGCTAGCCCCCAGCCCCTCCCCTGCTGACTTCCTTCCCCCACAGCCTCAGCTCACTCACTCTGCCACCAGCACAATGCTCTGGGTGGAGGGGCTGCAGAGCCAGCCTGACCCAGTGCTGTGTGGTGGCAGCAGCATGGCCCGGCTCCAGCTGGGCAGCACAGCTGTAGCACCACCAGCCACTGGTGCTCCAGGCAGCGCAGTAAGGGCAGGGAGCAAGGGAGATTAGCTAGAGGGCAGGGGGGAAGCAGCTAGGGGCCAGGCCATGACCCCCTCCCCTAACCAGCCCTCCATACAATTTACGAAACCTGATGCAGCCCTCCAGCCAAAAAATTTGCCCA